GCCTGTCACCCACACCCTGGATAGCGAGCGGGAGGATTCGTCAAGTCAGGATTAGATGCGCAGCCTGAGCAAGAGCGCAGAGCCCGTCTCGTCAGCCTAGAAGGGTTACGGGGAGCCACTTAGGAACGACTGTCACGCCAGTTGAAAGGGGAGATGAGTGAGCAGGCAGGGCGGCTGGTCGGCCGGGCCAGAGGGCGACTGCGATGCAAACAGCGATCACCCTACGTGACGCACTGTCGCCTTGAATCACCCCGACGCCCAAATCGCGCTACCCACCACTCCCACCCCGCCGTCTCTCCTCCGCCTGCCCGGTGCTCGCTCCGTGCTGCGCGAGACGCGCACACCTCGCTCTTCTGGAGCACTAAGGGTCACGCACACCCACCGCACGCCTCTCTTCATCGCCGCAGCCGGCCTCCACATCCTGCTTCCTGCAGCACTGCGGCCCTGCTGTGTCTGCCGTGAGTGTTTGGGGGGCGCAGTCTCTGCCCACGGAGGCGAGCTGACTCGATTTCTGGTGCGTGCCGACGGCTTCCCCTGTGCGCAGCAACCCAGGCTCGATCCGTCTGCACCGTCCCTGAGACGCCCCCGCCACGGGCCCTCCTTCACATAGCATTCAGCAAAGCTGACAAAGTTAAAGCCTGCCCAGCACCTCTCCCTGCGAGCAAACCCTACCCCACCCTTTTTCCTGACCAGCCCCGCCTGGTGCGAAGAGCGGGGTCTTTGCTGCCCCTACTCTGAGCTCCTTTCTCCAACCGGAGCATCTCCCTGCAGTCAGTAGATGTTGTGTTAAAAGGAACCGGGCGCGTGGCTCCGCCTGTCATCCCAGCCCCTGGAGCGAGGCAGGAGGACGCTGGAGCTCAGGAGTTCGAAGACCAGCCTGAAGCAAGGAGAGACCCCCCATCTCTACTAACCGCCCTCAAAACGCAATATCAACTTGGCAACGTAAAAACTTCATCCCACGAAACAATCTCGCCGACATCGCTCACATGCTGTAGTCCCATACTCGCGGAGGCGGAGGCCAGGCACGGATCCATTCTGGACCAGGAGTTTGCAGGTTGCTGTGAGCCTAGCCGACCCGCTGACGCCACGCGCACTCACTCTACCGGGTGACAGAGTGAAGACTCTGACTCAAAAGGAAACCAAGCTACGTGTTATGTCTTGGGCACAACATCAGTCCAAACACAGCCGAACTGGTTCGCCTGGTGCCTCATCACGCCTTCCTCCCGGCAGGAAACTGAAGCCACGGGTGCCGACTGACTCTGCCGCTCGCCCCTGGTGTTGTTTGAGGAACCTCGTCTTTCAATTTATCTTCGCCGCCTGCCCCTTTTAGTCGGGTTTTGTTGTATTTTTTTATTTCGGCATATATGGGGGCGATCAGACTTCTACAGTTCATCCTGTTGTTTTTGGCGCTCTTCTCTGTCGCCCGCTAGAGACACGGCTCATCCATAGCTCACCGCAGCTCCAACTCCGGCGAGCGACCATCCGCTCCACTCTCACTAGCCAGCGGTGCGGCAAACGCCTGGCTACATTTTCTATTTATTAGAGAGACAGGGTCTCACTCTGTTGCCCAGGCTGGTCTCAAACGTGTAGCCTCCATATCATTTCCCTGCTTGACCGTCCCAAAGTGAGAGGGTGTGACAGGCGGGAGCCCCGTGCCTGGCCTCCATTTTAGTTCTTGACACACTAATACACTGACCTGATTTTCGCCCTTTTGTGTCTACCTGGGTTTCTTGGTTTCATCTTAAAAACCAACTTGACTTAGACTTATGGGAGGCTGTTGAGGATCAAGTTGTCATGAGTTTCCAACTTTCTTGCAGACATTTTGGAAAAAAATGTTGCGGTCTATGTCAGAGAAGTGGCTGGGTAAGTTTGGGCTCCGTCTTCATTCATTCTCCCAGAGAGACAGAGCGGGAAAGTGGAAGGAGAAGGGACGGGAGGGACGAGTCAAGAAATTGAGGAGCCCAGTCCAGAGTCCGACAGACTGGGTTCAAGTTTTTATGTCCTTTGCAACCGGAGGCATCCCTACCCCCCAGGCATTTCCATTATGGTGTGAGGACAAGGTATTGTGGGGTAACGTCAAGTTCCCACAGCAGTAGACCGCTATTGAGCAGAGTCACCCCCCTTGTTCCTTGATCCTATTCTGTATTTAAGAAGCTAAGCCGGGGCGGTGGCTTCACGCCTGTAACCCTACACCTGGGAGGCCGAGGCAGGAGGATCGCTCAAGGTGGGAGGTTTCAGACCAGCCTGAGCAAGAACGAGAGACCCCCGTCTCTACTAAAAACTGAAGAAATACCTGGACAACTCATATAAGAAAGTTACCGGGCGTGTGCGCATGCCTGTATCCAGCTACTCCGGAGGCTGAGGCAGAGGATCGCTTGGCCCAGGAGTTGGAGGTTGCTGTGAGCGAGGCTGACGCCACGGCACTCACTCTAGCCTGGGCAACACAGTGAGACTCGGTCTCAAAAAAAAAAAAGCTAAGGTCATTTAGTTCAGAGAATATCTTTAAATTCTCTTTCTCAGTCTTGTTTACTGTGTATACAACCTTTTGTGAGGTTGGGAGGGGCCTTTTCCCCCCAGAGAATAATTATTATTTTTGAGACAGAGTCTCACTTTGTCACCCGGGCTAGAATGCCGTGGTGTCATTGTAGCTCACAGCAACCTCCAACTCCTGGGCTCAAGCGATCCTCCTGCCTCAGCTCCCCGAGTAGCTGGACTACAGGCATGCGCCACCATGCCCGGCTCATTTTTTTCTATATATTTTTTTAGTTGTCCAGCCAATTTCTTTCTATTTTTTTTTTTCAGTAGAGACGGGGTGTCTCATCGCTCTTGCTCAGGCTGGCCTCGATCCCCTGAGCTCCAACGATCCTCCCGCCTCGGCCTCCGCTAGAGTGCTGGGGTGACAGGCACGGGCCACCGCGCCCGGCCCCAGGGAACGGTGGCCTGGGGCGGAAAGCCCAGCCGAAGGCTCAGGCCGCGCGTGCACTCCCGTCCGCAGGTACAACTGCGAGGACGAGCGCTGCTACCTGGACCTGGCCAGGCTGCGGGGCGTCCACTACGTCACGTGGCGAAGGCGGAGCAAGGTCTTCCCGCAGGACGAGGTAGGTCCCGGCCACGGGGCTCGCCTTGCCTCACTGGCTGTTCGTTCCAAGTCTCTGCGTGTTAACATGGAGAGCCGGCATCGAACCTCCGAGACGAGCGTTCTTCCCCGGAATAGCGAGTTGCCGTCTACACTCGCAAACCGGAGAAAGAGGGAAATTAGGCACACGTACTTTTTTTTTTTTTTCTTTTTTTTTTCGGCATATTATGGGGGTAGATTTTAGGTTTCATAATGCCCTTTCCCCCTCCCCCACAAGTCTGAGTCTCCGGCATGACCATCCCCTAGATGGTGCACATCTCACTCATTTATGTATGTCTATACCCGCCTCCTCCACCTGCCCAATACCTATTACTGTAGTTCCTATGTGTCCACTTAGGTGCTGCTCAGTTAATACCCAGTTTGCTGGTGAGTATATGGGTGCTTGTTTTTCCATTCTTGGATACTTCACTTAGTAGTATGGGTTCCAGCTCCAACCAGGAATATAAATGTGCTATATCACCGTTGTTCTTAAGCTGAGTAGTGCCCATGGTCACACTGTATCTTTAATGTTTGTTAAGACACCTTGGTGAGATTGGGGGCCTAGAAAGATCTATTTGGGGATGGGGAGCAGGGATCCACAGACTGTGGCCCGGCGGGGCCAGTGTGGCCCGCCGCCCGTTTCCTGAACAAAGGAGACGTCCTGCTTGTGCACGTCAGCGACAGGGTTGAATGACCGTGACCGAGACATTAGAGTCAGCAGAGTTGAAAATGCTTATTATTTCCCGGAGGCGGCTCACGCCTGTAACCCTAGCACTCTGGGAGGCCGAGGGCGGAGGGGATCGCTCGAGGTCAGGAGTCGAACACCAGCTCTTGAGCAAGAGCAGACCCGTCTCTACTAAAGTAGAAGAAATTAATTGGTGAGCAAAATATATAGAAAAACGAGCGGGCGTGGTGGCGCATGCCTGTGGTCCCAGCTACCGGGGAGGCTGAGGCAGGAGGATCGTTTGAGCCCAGGAGTCTGAGGTTGCTGTGAGCGAGGCTGACGCCACGGCACTCGCTCTAGCCCGGGCGACAGAGTGAGACTTGCTCAAAAAAAAAAAAAAAAATGTATATTTCACCCTTTCCAGAAAAGTTTTCGCCTCCTATGCAGAGCATAATTAGGGGCCTTAGCCAGAGCAAGCGACTCTCTGGCTGCAGAGAAAGCCATGCCTGGTGGGTGCGGACCTGCCTTGCTTTGCTCGGCAGGCCACCCGACGCTGGGCCTCACCGAAGTTCACCATACTCTTTCGACGTGGAGAAGTTCATGCACCTCGTCCTGCGGGCCGCGACCGTGCCTGCTGCACCCAAAGTGGCCTTTAGAAGAGCGCGACGAGCTGTGAACGCGTTGAGTCGCTGCTTGCAGAGAGAGAGAGAGTGCGACACCCACACCCAGACTCAGGACTCCGCAGCAGATTTCCTCGTCCAGAATTACCTTGTCTACACCAAAACACACTTCAGGGTATTGTTGTGTGTTTTATAGTATTTAAGTGTTAGGTTTTTTTTTTATGCGTGCGCGGCGCGTGATATTGCTGTTATTGATCATAGCAATCATGAATTTGCACTGAGACTTTACTGTTTGTAGTTTCGAGACGTCGGCGTGGCTCACGTGGGGTGGCCCGGCTTTCTTCTTAGCGGCTACCAAAGTTTTCAACTTTCTCAGCTTTAGAATTTGTAAGTGTTTCTGCCAAACACCACGTGACTGTCAGTTCCGAGTGTTCCAACTTGCTCGCGATATATATTTGGCTAAGTTTGCGCTGATCTTTCATTTGCTATCGCCTGTGTATAACACGCCTTCTGCACGGCGGGGAAGGCAGACAACGTGGGTGACACACGCGGGCTGCGGTTTGGGGCCGACTCCAGGCCGGGCCCAGAGCGGAGAGTCGGCCCCAGGCGACATCATCGAGCCCCAAGCAAGCCGTGCCCCCGTGTTCCTTTATGTTCATATATTCCACAGTCAAATCCTGTCTCCCCCAAAATGCAACAGCCACATACGATGGAAACAAATGAGGGAATTCCGTTGTGCATTGGTCTAGCCGCTTTGCACCGGCTCCTGCTTAGCCACGCAGGGCGTTTGTGTCGTCGGATTCGGCTTCCTTCGCGCGGTTACTTGCAACCGGGCACGCCCGTGGGTGCACGCCCGTGGGTGCACGCCCGTGGGTGCACGCCCGTGGGTGCACGCCCGGCCCCGCGAGCCCGGGAACGTTCCAGGTTCCCATTGCACAAACTTCACACGGGCCTCACGAAGACAATTTTCCCCCGTAAAACAGTGACGCAAAAATAAATCAAAGACGCGAATTACCCGATCAAAAGGTTCAAAAGCCACGGGAACGTGCCATGGATTAAAAAGAATATCTGGCACGGAGTCCCTCGCCCTGAAAGGGGTCCTTTCTCACCGTGTGTGAACTGTCAATCGAGCAGTCAGAAACCCCGGGTTTGTATTACTGCAAAACGTGAAGTTTACATTTTATTAACACTTGAGTAGTCTAATTAAGAGCCTAGTTACTTCTATTTTTTTTTTTAAATAAGGGGTTATCAAATTGCAGCAGAGCTAAAGAAATTTTTTTTCCCTTTTGCATTTTAGAGCTGTAAAAAAAAAACAACAAAAAAGAACATACAATGGAGAAGTGATGTGTAAAAACAAAATGTTTATATCTGGACTTTTTTTACAGGGAAAGTTTTCGGACCTCTGCTTTAAAGGATTATGAGGAGTCTTCTAGAATTTAGGAATGTTTATTCAAATATCTGTAAAGAAAAAGGTGAATCACTCTGGCAATAGCTTTGATTTGGATCTTAAAAGTTGTAGAAAAAGAATGACATTATGAATTTCTTAAATGACAGGTATTATTACTGTTCTCTTTTGCAAAATGCTGAGTAACCACTGGGAAAATGTTTCACATGAAAGGAGTTAGAAAGGCTAGTTGCACTCTGAGTCAGCCCCAAGTATGAACATCTGAAAAAAAAAGTTTCAACATTTATCTTCTTACCTCATTTTAACAAGTGTGTGATTCCACAGACGAGTGAGAATTTCAGAAAATTGAGAACCGTTCATAATAAAACTATTATATTTGAATATTTTGCATTTAAAGAGAGAATACATTTTATATAAACAAAGTACTTTTGACATTTCAATTACGGAATTAGCTTTTATCAGAGACTTTTTGTGTGAATAAAAGAAGGTCTTCAAGTTGTTATAGAGTTTAAAATGTAAAGACTGCTCTGTGTATTAAGTCTTTAAAAGGGATGCCTTTCATTGTACATTTTGGTTATGGCTTTGGAATAAATCTTTTTATATTTTATTTGAATATAGAACCATTTTAAAGGTTTTCCATGTCTGAATGTTATATACCTGCTTTTTTTTGGGCCACCTGGTAGGTCTTAGATGACAAAAACTAAGTAGCTCCTTGATGAAGAATTCAGTTTAAGGCCGGGCGCGGTGGCTCACGCCTGTCATCCTAGCACTCTGGGAGGCCCACGCGGGAGGATCACTCGAGGTCAGGAGTTCGAGACCAGCCTGAGCAAGAGCAAGACCCCGTCTCTACTGTAAATAGAAAGAAATTAATTGGCCAACTAATATATATAGAAAAAATGAGCCGGGCATGGTGGCTCACGCCTGTAGTCCCAGCTACTCGGGAAGAGGCTGAGGCAGGAGGATCGCTTGAGCCCAGGAGTTTGAGGTTGCTGTGAGCGAGGCTGATGCCACGGCACTCACTCTAGCCTGGGCAACAGAGTGAGACTCTGTCTCAAAAAAAAAAAAAAGAATTCAGTTTAAGCAGAAAGTGTACCTTTTACAGTTGGCTAGCGGCTCATTCTGCGATACTTTCGCAAATACTACATTGTATAGCCCTGACCCAAATGACATGAGAATTATGGTTCCTGTTTTTCATGAGACTCAGATGCTGTTTAAGGGACTTCCCTAAAAAGCACTAGGCCTTCTGCGTCCACGTCCGTATTTTCCCATTCATTCACGTCCCCATTCAGTAAATACTGCCCCGCGACTGTGCTCCGGCTACCGTTCCAGGTTCCCGGAAAGCAGCGACAAAGAACAAAGTCCACGCCTTCCTGGGCCTGCGCGGAGGGGAAGGAGGCGGACACCGACCATCGTAAATAAGTGGCGTATTCAGCGTGCCAGTTGCATTCGTGCCATGGAGAAAACTAAAGCAGGAAAAAGGGGTGTCGAGTGTGGGACGAGGCGGGGTGCTGCACACTTAAGGGGGTGGGGGCCAGGGAAGTTCTCACTGAGTCCAGACTGGGAGGGAGGCCGGGCGCGGTGGCTCCTCACGCCTGTCACGCCAGCCTCCGGGAGCGGCCGAGGCGGGAGGATCCGCTCAAGGCTCAGGAGTTTCGAGACAGCCTGAGCAAGGAGTGAGACACCGTCTCTACTCGTAAATAGAAAGATATTTAATCTGCCAACTACATATATATAGAAAATGACCGGGCATGGTGGCGCATGCCAAGTCGCAGCTTACTCCGGGAGGCTGAGGCAGGAGATCGGCGGTTGAGCCCAGGAGTCTGAGGTTTGCTGTGCAGCGATGGCTGATGCCACGGCACTCACTCTAGCCTGGGCAACAAAGTGAGACTCTGTCTCAAAAAAACCAAGACTGGAAGGGGGCGAGGGAGGAAGCTATGGAGACAACCGGGCACAGAGCAGCTCGGGAAACCAGAACAGCCCGTGCAAAGGCCCTGGGGCAGGAGCGTGCCCGCTGCGTGTGAGGAACGGCAGGAACACCGCAGCGCGGCGGCTGCGCATCATCGAGGGCCAGAGGAGTAGGCGGGTAAGAGATGAGAAGGGGCGCAGGTGGCAAGGCCTTGGATAGGACCATGAAGAATTCCACACAGGCAACCCGGAGCCCGACTCCGGTCTTCGCCGGCGCTGTCCAGTTCTATTCAGGAGTCCCCTGCAGACGGGCGTCTCGGTCGGATCCGCTTTGGAAACACAGAGTCTTGGGGGCGAATAATGCAGGAGGTGGGTTTGGCCAGGTTTCGCTCGGACGCCGGCGTGGGCGGTGGGGTGCCGCGGAAGCAGGGGCCGGCGAAGGCCTGCAGCGGGGCGCCGAGGAGGCGGCTGGTCCTCCAGGGAGGCCCGCAGTGGCAGGAGAGAGGCTCCCTGTTAATTAATGCCAAGTCGCTCGGATCTGAGCCGTCAATGTAAGGCTGAACTCTGATCTTTTTCGCTTTTGCTAAAACTCTTTCCTAAGGAGGCCGGCATGGTCAGGCTGAAAAACGGTAAATTCCCACCAAGCCGGCTTTTGTTAACGCAAATGGAGCAGTGGTTTTACTCCCAACTGATTCCGGTGTTAACATCACCTAGAAGATAGGAAAGCCCCTTCTTAACCTCAAGCATCCTAGCAGGCGCCTTATTCTCAAATTTAAAATATCTTACTCAACATGCCTAGCAAGGTGCCTATTGTAAATTTAAATCTATAACTCAAGCATCCTAGCAGCGTGCACTATTCTAAATTTAAAATATCTTAACTCGAAGCATCCTAGCAGTGGCCTTTCTTAAATTTAAGAAATATCTTAACTCAACATCCTAGCAGGTCCTATTCTTAATTAAAATATCTTAAGCTCAAGCATCCTAAGCAGGTGCGCTATTGTAATTTAAAATATCTTAACTCAAGCATCCTAGCAGTATGCCTATTCTTAAATTTAAAATATCTTAACTCAGCATCCTATGCCAGGTGGCCTATTGTTAAATTTAAAAATCTGACTCAAGCATCTAAGCAGCGTGCGACTTATTCTTTAAATTTAAATATCTTAACTCAAGCATCCTAGCAGGTGCCTATTCTTAAATTTAAGATATGTTAAAACTGCAAGCGATCCCTACAGGGTGCCTATTGTAAATTTAATATCGTTCAACTCAAGCATCCCTAGCATGTTATGCCTTTCTTAATTTAAATATCTTAACTCAAGCATCCTAGCAGGTGCCTATTGTAAATTTAAAATGTAGTCTTAACTCAAGCATGCCTAGCAGCGTGCCATTCTTAAATTTAAAATACATCTTAACTCAAGCATCCTGCAGGTTGCCTATTCTTTAAATTTAAAATATCTTAACTTCAAGCATCCTAGCAGTGCCTAATTGTAATATTTAAAATATCTTAACCAAGCATCCTAGCAGGTGCCTATTTCTTACAGTTTTTTTTAAAATATCTTATCCCAAGCATCCTAGCAAGGTGCCTATTGTAATTAAAAATCTTAACTCAAGCATCCTAGCAGGTGCCTATTCTTAAATTTAAAAATCTTAATCAACATCCTAGCAGGTGCCTCATTCTTAAATGTTAAAATACTTCAACTCAAGCATCCTAGCAGGTTGCCTATTGTAAATTAAAACTATCTTTACAAC